ACACACACACACACACACACACACACACACACACACACATCCACGCACTACACGCCGCTGTACACGCTCGTCCAACAGGGATGCTCCAAAACCCCAATGCCAGCGGCCTTGTCGGTTTGCTGTCCAGGCAGGGGCAGACCTACCACCTGTTGCGAGCGGCTCTCAGGTCATCGTCCAAACACCATGACTGCACCGCTCCATCTAAGTAGCTTCTGCCGTGAAGGGGATGCTCTAATTCGGCGATGTAGGAGGCGTCACCGTGCATGGCCGAGTCGTGCTCTTCGGCTATGGCCGAGATCAAGTACCTCACCATATCGCCAACGACATCCCTCGCGGGCGAGCGCCAGTCGTCGGGAATGACCTCGGAAAACTTCTTGACGAAGACGATGACCTCGCTGAGGTCGTTCTCCACATCGTACCCTAGTGCGATGACCAGCCTCATGGCGATCAGGCCTTCGACGAAGATCCGTATCCCACGCGGAATCCGATGAGGAAGAGGAAAAGCTGATGAAGACAATGCCGGCATACGTGTAACCACAACTCCCGTCCCTGCCCGTGCGGGCTGAAACAACAGTCGATGCAGGATGTTCACACCACGGCTGATTGCCGAAACTGGTTCTCCCGAACGGCTCCCTCCCCGGACAACCGTCGCTGCGCCGGCCGCCCCTTCCATATGCAACCATTGCCCATGCCCTGCCTGATGACACTGCCACAAACCATGTCGCCGACCAAAGACCCCGCACCCTGCGCCTATAATGCTCCTCAGCGATGGCATTGCACTCCTAACGCAGCTTTGCATCCCACTACTGGGCATGAGAACAGTGCTTGGGGCTAACGGGATCCGCACGTGCGCTCATATGCTGCCAGCGTCTGGCTGGATTACCCATGCATGGCTGGCCGTCGTCCCCGGTCCGCCGGTTTAAGATATTTCCAGGAAGCCAAGCAAGGGGGTCCACCCCTAAAAAACGGCTGGTTGGAGCCAAATATTTGGCTCCTGTCCTACCGCCGTGAGTTTTGTCTATTGTGCATGTCGAGATCTCTCGGATCCTCGCTCCACTGCTCACCAAATGTGCAAGATGAGAATGAATCTTTCCCTAGGAGATGGGAAGATGCACCGCCATATTTCTGTTCTTTTGCGCCTGTGGAGCGAGGTTGACCGCCCCCCCGCTGCCCTATAGTTGTTGGTTCTTTTTTTTTTTTGCTCTTATTTCAGATCTCTTGGGCCTCGCTCCACTACTCACCAAATGTGCAAAATGATAATGCATCTTGCCCCAGGAGATGGGAAGATGCAGCGCCATGTTTTTCGTCTTTTGCTCCTGCGGAGCCAGGCCCTTGGTGTGGGAGATGGGAATTTTTTTTATTTTTTTTTTGGATGTTTGTTTGATTGCAGAAACAAAGCATTGTGGCCGGGGTCCCCACAATTCAACCCGGAACAGTGACCTCTGGCAGCATTAGCCAGTTTCGTTTTTTACGGCACCGACTGGAACCGAAAGTCATTGAGTCATGTTGTAGGACTGAGAAAAAAGGATTCAGCTATACTAGACTGCGAAAGTGTGGGGAGAAGAAGCAGCGAGGAGAGCTGGTTACAGTTGCAGACTAGGGAAAAGAAACCCGGGGAAGAGGATCCCGAAAGTATTAGGGATAGGCTGAGCAATTAGAGGGTGGGGGAGGAGTGGGAGAGGTGAGAAGAGGAAGGAGTATGGGGGGGGAGGGGGGTATGAAACAGAAGAGGAGAAGAGAAGGGGCTGAGACGAGACGGGGAGTGGGGGAGCCAGGTTACAGGCCTGTCAGGTCTACCTACAAATGGTCAAAAATCAGCCTAACTTCGGCTGGCCAGAGCCAAGATTGGCTCCTCACTGGACTTGACACTCTCCTCCCTCCGCCCCTCAGCTTCACTGCTGGTGGCCTACTGTGGCCTGAACTAACCGAGTGTCCTGGTTGGTAGGAAGAGAGGGTCAAGGGAGACTATGAGACAAGGGGTAGAGGCATGCGGCTTGAAGTGGCCTAAAATGGGCAAACAAGGGGGGTTGAGAGGAGCCCTGGGTTTTTGGAATGAGAGGGGGGGATGGGGAGTTAAGAGCTAAGCCATGGAGAGATTGCCAGCTGTCCTGACAGTGTTATGGCAGCCAGCTGATTGTCCCGGGCCCAGGTAACGAGGAACCAGTGTCTGCCGCACGGATTTGTGCCTTTCTTGGCTTTCCTGATCCAGTCTGCCTTGATCATTGTCCTGATCCATGCCTTGGCTTTGCGAATCAGGGCCGTGTCGCAGGTCCATTCCTGTCTGAAGAGGATATTGTTCCTGTCTTCCCAAATGATCCACAGGAGAACTGAGCGAATGGCTTGCGCAACGTAGCCTCTTCCCACATGCTTGAACCAGGAAGACGGAATTTTTCCATGGATTGCCCATCCTTCATCCCATGGGAGCAATGTTCCCACGAAATTAGCCCAGTGGTCGCCCCACCAGACCCACAATCTTCGGGAAGCCGGGCAGGACCAAATGAGGTGCTCCAATGATTCCTCTGCATGGCAACCACACCTGAGGCATTTGGTAGAGATGTCCATGCCTTTTTCGAAGAGCCAGATGGCGCATGGCACAGCTGTGTGTGATAGTTGCCAAGATAGGGCAGCGTGTGATAAGCTCAGATCCGTACCGCGCGGCTTGCCGTATCCCTGAGAAAAAATCCCGCGGAAGCCCCAAAGTACGGACGCGGATAGAAAGGGTTTTTTCTTTCTTTTTGCTTTTGTTTTCTTGTTGAAACGGCTTTTTCATTTTGTTTGGCTAATAAATCCCGCGGGCGAATAGCGGCCGCGGTATGAAAACCAAGAAACGGGTGCGGTTGGGACTTTTTGAATTTTTGCGCGCGCGCCCAAGCTCCGGTTTCTTCGCGCGTCTCGCATCTCCGTTTCTTGGTTTTCATCCTCGCGCCATCTTCCCTTCTTGCTGCGCGCGTTTTCCCCATGCAGGACTCTTCGTCTTCCCCTACGCCCAACTTGATCCTTACCCCGTCTTCCTCCGCGAAGTGATTGGCTGCATAGTTGGGATGCTCGGATCAATGTGGAAAGCAGGAAATCCCACACCACTTGGACGAAAACCCCAATTACGAAGCCATGCAATCCTGTGGATCGAACCCTCTAACTCCCAACCTCTCTCTCCTGTCCTGCTCATCTACACCCTGCGATGCCCGCACCTCGCACTGTTAACCCCCTGCCTCCCGCGCTATAAATTTGCGCAACCCTCTCCTCTCCCTCTCTTTGATCTCGGCCGCAATGCTGCGCGAGCTATGCGCGAGAGTCCGCGGCGCCAAACAGGCTCAACGAGCCCAAGGACAGGCGGAGTGACGACGTGGGGTGGACCCCGCGGGAGTCTCAAGGCGAAGCAGTCGGAGGGATTGAGCAGTGGTGGGGATTGGATGCCGGCCACGGCAGGGCCTTGTGGCTATGGTAGTCGGTGGTCTTGGGAATTTTTGAAGGCTGCGCCTGGGGACAGCAGTTAATTGAAATTTTTGTGTACAAGAAGGACTCGCTTTTATCACCATTGCTGCTTTGTCTATGCATGTCGTGTGTGTGAAGCCCCGAGTGATGGGAGCTGGTTATGCGCATGAGTGACGTGGAAGGTCCATGGATGATTAGATGTCTTGACAAGGGTTGTTGATTGCATGCATGTATGTGTGTATGTACTCGTCCGGGCGGGGATGGGGAAACTGAACTGGGGGACCGTCTGCTTAGGAGTA